TTGGATTAGTAGCAATCCGCCTGTCTCAGCCTCCTCAGTGCTGGAATTATAGGTGTGTGCCACTAGGCTCGGTTTCAGTGGCTGGCATGAATGCAGTACCAGGGACCAAACCCAGGCCCTTGTACTTGCTGGGCAGGCACTTAGACCACTGAGCTCTCTCTCCAGCCCCTGAACAGTTTCTTTTCCTTTCACGGCATCCATTGTATCTTTCAGATCCTAATTACTCTTTCAGGTTCTTAGACTAGGGAGACAATATGATGTTTATATATGTGTGTCTGACTTATTTCACTTATAGATATGGTCTGCAGTTGCATCAATTTATGTATAAAAGGCTCGAGTTTATCTTTTTTATAGTTGAGTAATACTCCATTGTACAAAAATACTTGAATTTTTTTTATCCATTCCTCAGTTGATGAACATTTGGGTTGTTTCCAAGATTGAGCTATGATAAATCGTATTGCAATAAGCATGGGTGCACATATGTCACTGTGGTATGTTTTCAGTTCTAGTGGAAAAAATACCTAGCAGGGGAATAGTTGGGTTGAATGTGACCTGTAATCTTAGCTTTCTGAGGAATGTCTGCACTGATTTTCACATCTCAAGTTCTACCTTCATAAAAATAAATGTGTAAAATGTGATTATAATTTTCAACTTAAATAATTATAGTACATTCTAGTGTAGCAACATGCATATAATACTTGGTAAAATTTAAGTTATTAAGCAAGTTTGGGCCATTAATACTTGACAAACTTACCAAATCTGTTTCTTTACCTTTCTTGATGACAAAGTCTTGTGGTAGAACAAAGCTTACCTTTCCCAGGCTACTTGTAGACCCAGCCCAATGCTTGTGGGTGTTAGCTAGTAATGGAAAATTTCTCCCCGGTTTAGGGAATTTGGGATAATTAATTTAGTTTGGAGATATAGGAACATATCATTGAGTAATTATATTATTTTCTCTCTGATGGGTCATCATTAAAAAGCAGTGGTTTCTAGTCAATGGCATTGGAGTTAATCATGTATAACTCTAAAGGGCCCTTTGTCAGCTGGCATCATTAAATCCTTGACATGTTCTCCCATATTTTGTTATCAGAGTGTATTCACTCTGACAGTTTTGCTTTTCTGTCCCAAGGCTTTAGGTTCACACCTTCATGTTTTTCTACTCTTGCTGGACTTTGACTCTATTGGACTGAATTTTCTTATGTCTAATCCCACATATATCACACTAATGGCTGAAAGAAAAAATATTCCACAATAGTTTTATTTTCCTTGAAAACTTAAGATCCTGTTCTCTTCCCTCATTCTAGACTAAGATATGAGTATAAAATGCAGATCTGTCTACAGTGTGATAGGCTTTCCTTTAATCCCTTTCTCTTGTTTTTCTGGACTGTAGTTAAGTTGTCATTCCTCTGAGTGTCATATAAAGGCATTTGGTTCTTTTAAGAGAGTTTCTGGATAGTGAGATTTTAGAGAATGGAGAACTCTAAGAATAAAGGCCTGTCCCTTTCTGTGTGAGCAAGGATGGCAAGAGACACATGGGAAACCAAAGAAGAGACAAAGTAGAGTTTTCCGCAAGTAAAAAAAGTTCTTTAGTAACTCTGTGTCAGAGTGATATTATCAGTGAGAAAGAAAGAAGTCATCCATTTTTTGGCTTTTTGATATATAAAAAGCTTTTTATTCTGTAGATGCTTATTATCAGTTATGATTTTTGATAGGCTATGAAAATTATATTAATTTTTCCTATTGATTAAAAACATTTGGTTTCTATGAGTGTAACATGACACAGAATACTTGATTAATCATACAGTCATCACCATGGTAAATAGCCTAGAAATATTCTCACTATGACAGACATTTATTCCAACAAACACATATATAATTTTCTTTAACAACAAGAAAAATGTACTACTACTCTAGCTTCCTATAAGTCATTTGAGCAAA